CTGAACTCTGGCCTCAGATAGCCTCAGCTCCCGTATTAATTAGTTCTTTGACTCAGGGCTAACTGCTTACCTCCTCTGTGCTTGTTTCCTCACCTGTAAAATGAGGGGGGAAATGGTGCTTATCTCTTTGGGTTATTATAAGGATTAGATAAGTTAATGCTTAAATTAGAACATGTGTCTGATGTTATAAATGCGTGTTAAACAAAATAAGTAACAGTTGCTCAGTATCTGTTAAATGGAAGGATGGGCAGTCTTTTCCAACCATCTCGAGTGAGCTGGGTGGAAGATGCACTTGCAGCTGCTGCTTCCCTGGAATGTTGTCATCCTTTGCTTCCATTCAGTCACTGCTGAACCTCATTTGGAACAAGCTAACCAAGAAACATACTTATTATAGTTTGAGTCTCAGGTTTCTGAATTTTATTTAGTCAAAGCCAATTCTATTATTTTATTGATAGAACAGGAAACTGAATATAAAGATATTGTTATTTGTATAGCATTTAGTTATATCATGCTTTTATCTTGTTTCTAGTAGCAGCCCTAGATTTCAGAGGAATCCAGCATGATCAGAAAACATACATTTCGCAAAGCAATTTTCTAGATTAGCTTGAGGTCTTCACTGAAGCCATTACTAAAAGGAAAACTTAATTTTCAGTTTCATGGCTACTAAGTGGAGTTTGATGGCCCAATCTAACTTTTTTCTGACAATTTGCAACCATTATTAACATTATTAATGTGTTAAATAGTAACGTTTTAAACTATTAGGTGTTTTTTTTTCTGTACTAAGAGTGTATGTGTGTGTGTGTGTGTGTGTGTGTGTGTGTGTGTATGTTGACCTTATTATTGCTCTTTGTAGTTTCCTTATTGCCTCTCCGGTTGAGAGCTGTTAACTCGTGCCAGCAATGCACCTGCCTCTTCTATCCAATCTCATTTTTAATCCGGTGTAGACAGAAAAATCAGGCCTGGATGCTTCATCATTGCATCTAAAGTGTAAGCCAACTTCTGTGAATCACAGGTTGAAGGGCTCATGGGAAGCCTGGGAAAGCTCCCTGTGGAGAGAGCCGGTTAGAACACTTCTCTAGAGGAAGTAAAGTATGCTGGGCAGAGAGGATATTCTAAGTCTGAAGGTGGGGACTGAGTAGGATGTTAGAAACACCTTGGTCTAGTTGTAGTTGAAGCCACTGACTTGGATTTAAAAATTCAACAAATACTGACTGAGCCACTTTTTTGTGCCATAAGGCAGTTAGTAAACTGTGAACAAAGAAAATGTTTCAGGTGCTGATAAGTACCATAAAAATAAATGAATAAGGAAGTAAAGAATGAAAGAAGGAGAGGAGGAAAGAAAATAAGGAAAGATAGGTACATAAACACATAATGAGAGGAATGGGAGTGCTGCAGGTGAGCTTTTATGTAGGTCATCAGAGAAGAACTCTTTAACAAGGTGACTTTTGAGCAGAGACCTGAAGGAGGTGGGGAGCTAAAAACAAGTGCAGTGTCCCTAAGGCAGTACCTGCAAGCGATGATCCATGCATAGGAGGGGGTCAGGCTAGCTGCCCCCAGGTGACCTGTGTGGGGAGCAGGGGTGTGTGTGGTTGTGGGGCTGACCATGTTGGGCCTTGGAGATCCCAGGGGGGCCATTGGCTTTTGCTTTGAGGCACATGGGACACCATTACTAGGTTTTGAGCAGGGGTGACAGGATTGGCTGTCGTAATGGAGCTTGATGCAGCGAAACCCATTAGGAGATGCGGGTGAAATCCAGAGGGGAGAGGATGGTGGCTTTGAAATGCCAGAATCTAAGGATGCATGGGTAAGTGGAGAAGGTCAGTGAGGAAGGCCCTTGTGAATAACGATGGAAAACTGCAACTGATTTTAAATGGAAGGCTTCTCATGCCATGATTCTGCAGACTTCCCAATAAGCTATCCTTACTTCCCTGGCAGCAGAAACCTCAAAAAAAAAAAAAAAAATTTGATTTTTACTTGTTGACTTCAGTTTTGTAAACATCACAATTCTGAGAATAGCCACATTGCTGAAAGATTTTCCAGCATTTAAAACCTGTTTCTAAGGTGATTAATAACCTCCTTGTCAAATTTAGTGGCATTTCCCCTTTCTAATCCCCTCCAGCTTTCCTCTTCAAAACGCCTCCTCGGGCTGCCATGATTCTGCACTTTTCATGCCACCCGAATGCTGTTTTCATTCTTTCTTTTCTTCCTGACCCTTGGTGGTGTGTGTGTCCACCAGCCATGCCCTTGCACCGTTGTTCTTCCTTTTTGTAGTACATGCTCCCTTGGTGCATTCATTCTTTCTTTAGTTTCAACTATCCCTGGGCAGGGGTCACAGATTCTCACCCCCAGTTCTGACATGTCAGCTCCATGCTGGGTATATTTTCTTAAAACCAGCTTCCTGTCCCCATTTCTCTCATGTGTGCTTCCATTCTTCTTGGCTCAAAATAGAGCCCGTCCTGACACCTTGTTCTGCTCCATTGCTGTTCCAATCTGTTTTCAGATCTTACAGATTCTTTTTTGGAGTGTCTTTCAGGTTTATACTTTCTTCCCTCGTAATAGAAATGCCACAGCGCCAGCCTTACTGTCTGATTCTTGATTCTGGCCACAGCCTCTGAGTGGCGAATTTGGCCTCCAGTGCCCTCCGCACTTGTCCTCAGGCACAGCAGTGACAGTTTATTCAGCAAGTATTCACTGAGTGCTCCCCATGTGCCCAGCACTGCTGTGGGCTCTGGGGCTGTAAAACAGGCAACAGTCTTGCCCTCAGCAGCTTACGTTCCAGGAGCGGGAGCAGACAGCGAAGTAAGCAGAGGAATATGTATGTTTGGTGGTGTTGGTGCTAAGAGGAGGGGAAAAGGCCGGGGAGAGGGTAAGGGATGCCAGATTGGGACGAGGCTTGCAGTTTCAAATGAGGTAGGGATAACAAGAGAAAGTGATTTTTAAAATATATTTCTTCTTATTGAGATAAAATGTGTTCAACATCAAATTTCACCCTTTCAACCATTTTTGAGTGTATGATTCAGTGGCATCGAGTACATTCACTTTGTTGTGCAATTATCACCACAATCCGTCTCCAGAACTTTCTCATCATCCCAAACCGTAACTCTGTCCCATTAAACAACTCTCCATTCACTCCTCCTCTCCAGCCCCTGGTAACCACAGTTCTACTTTCTTCCATATAAAATGGACTATTTTGAATTCCTCATCTCGGTGGAATCATACAATATTTGCTCCTCTGTGCCTGGCTTATTTCACTTAGCATTAGTTTTTAGCGTTCATCCGTGCTGCAGTGTGTGCCACAATTTCATTTCGTTTTAAGGCTAAATAATATTCCATTGTATGGCACACGCCACATTGTGTTTATCCATTTCTCTGTGGATGGACATTTAGATTTCCTCTTTGGGCTCTTGTGACTAACGCTGCTGTGAACATGGGTGTACAGATCTCTCTTTCAGACCCTGCTTTCTGTTCTTTTGGGCATATAATTAGAGGTGGACTTGCGGGATCATATGGCAATTGTATATTTAAATTTTTGAGGAACTGCCACATTACCTTTCACAGTGGCTGTGCTTTTTTACATTACCAAGAAGATGACTTCTGAGTGAAGACCTGAAGGAAGTGAGGGAGTGAGCCAGGAGACTATCTGAGGGAGAACGTCTTGAGTGGAGGGAACTCCCTGTGCAAGGGCCCTAAGGTGGGAGCACAGCTGCCACGTGGGGTAAGGAGGCCAGTGTAACTGAATGGCGGGAAGGTGAAAGAAGTAGAAAGTGAGGCCAGAAGGGAACAGGTGTCCAAATTATATAGGCCGCTGCAAGGACTTTGATGTTACTCTCAGTGATGTGGAGAGCCCGAAGATATTACATTATATTGATCTTTCTTAAATCCTACTATTGTCAGGTCAGGCCCCATCCTAAAAATCAATAGATAGGTTGATTCTATATTTGTTGGTGAGCATGTTATGGTAGTTTATGTAGGTCATAAAATTAAGTAACAAATCACGCGTGTTTCATTAGAGTATCCAATTAACATTTAAAAAGCTGGAATCTAAAGGGCTTTCTATTTTCTGTACAATATTTTTTTAATTAGCTTGCCATCATGGAAACTAAAGCATGCCAATTAAGCACTTATCCAATTATCAGAGCTTCAGAGAAAAGCAGTGGATCAGAAATTCTTCATTTTAATTTTATGGGTTACTTTGAGAAAAATTAACAACGATTTGCAAAGTTTTAAAGCATTTAAGACACGTGCCTTCATTTAAAAGTCTCATATCAACCACTGCAGGAACTGAATTCTACTCAATGTGAGGCATTTGCTAGCTCATGTCAGTCCACGCTTTCTAGCTATGCATCCAGGACTAACTATAGACCCTAGGTATATGCCATTACTTTGTGTTACATCATATGGCCGGCGAATGATTCAGTGGGTTGTTGGCCTGAGCAAGCCCTTCTGTATCAACATAATTAGGTCATCTTTTTTCATAAAAGAAATAGAATATCACAGACAAAATTCACTTGGTCCTTCATCTCCAGTCTCATTCCCCTGTCCCATTCCATAGTCAGCCGACATCATAAACTTAGTGCCTCTCTTTCTAGTCTGTTACTTATACTTTTGCACAGTTAGGTACACAGCCATGAATTAAACACAGCATAATTTTATTAATATTTTAAACATTTATCTAAGTGTTGTTAAATTTATCTCCAGAGAAACAGAACCAATAGGAGGTGTAGGAAGGTAGGTAGGTAGATTTATTGTAAGGAATTGGCTCATGTGATTTTGGAGGCTGAGAAGTCCCAAGATCTGTAGCTGGCAAGCTGGAGACCCAGAAGCCATGATGGTGTAAGTTCCAGTCTGACTTTGAGTCCAAAGGTAGAAGATCGATGCCCCAGCTTAACGACACACAGATGGAGAAAATGTACACTAGTGACATAATTTTCATTGTAAGACCTGCTTTTCTGAGGCACCCTTTGATGTAGATCTAAGTTATTTGTTTTAATTGCTATACAAGCTTTGCACAGTGGCAGTGTCATAGCCAATGAGTTCTATCCAAGGCACGATTATTGCTAATTGAAAATTTAACTTCTGTACAGTAATTCTGTTTTGTGAACATAGTGTTATATGTATATATTTACTTATTGAGGAGTGAATGTGTTTGAACATGTGGTAGAGGCTCTATAAGGAATAGCCTGCTTTGGCAAGTTGCTGTTGGCCGCACATTATTTACAGGGTTCCTGCCAACTGAGTGAGACACATCAGGATGTTAGAGATAGGGAGCCATTATTCCAGTCATTTCAGGTCTAATTGCTGCTTTTGAAAAGCTCTGAACCCAACTGATGAGTCAGATTCATCGGATTCGTGGAAGAGCCTTCATAGGGACTCTAGGATCATTTGCTCCCAATTTTGCTGCTTCTGATGCTATTAACAACTGACTTTTTAAAAACTTGGTTCCAACTCCTCAAAAAAAGAGGGTCTGACTGGTAGGCCCAAAGTATAGTAACCTTCATAAGGAATAAAGCACTTGTTTCATGTAAAGCAGATTTGAGCCAATTAGAACGTGAAGGTTCCCCATTGTCAAGTTTAATTTCCATATTAACATCCTACTCTTCTATGTTATAATAACATATGTTTTCCCCAGTGGATTAATTTTTAAATAATTAATTTCGACATGATTTAAAACTTAAAGAAAAGTTATCAAATGGAACAAAGGACTCCTGTACCTCCAGATTCCCCATTTGTTAACATTTTAATGTATTTGCTCCATTGTGTGTGCCCGGTGTGTGATCATTAGTGTTTTTCTTAGCCTTACGAGAGCCAGCTGCTGACATGATATCCCATCCCTCAAAGCACTTCAGTGTGTGTTTCCTCCAAACAGAGATGCTCTTCTACATAACCAGTATGCAGCACTCCAAGTCAGGAAGCGAGTGTTGGTACAACACTACCATTCATTACACAGTTTCAACATTATAAACTCAACAGTGGCTCTTTTTCCTTTCTGGTCCAAGATCTTGTCCAGGAATATTTATTGCATTTAATTTTCATGTCTCTTTAAATTCCTTCAGTCTGAAAGATTTCCTCAGTCTTTCCCTATCTTTGGCAGTTTTAAAGAGTGGAAGTCTTTAATGATGTAGGGTGTGGGAATTTCTGACATTTCTCCCTGACTGGGCTCAGTTAATGCATTCTGGGTGGAATGACACAGAAATGATTCTGCATTTCTCCCATCACATCAGATGCACAAGATGCCAACCTGTCCACCACTGGTGATATTAACCTTGATCACCTGGTCATGTGGCTGTATGCCAGGTTATTCATATTAAATTTACTTTTTTCTCTTTGAAATTGACTAGTTATTTTGTTGAAAGGTTTCTCAGAATTTTGCTGACATCTTGTTCTCCACTAGATTCCACCCACCAACATCCACGGACAACCATGCCTGAGTAAACCACCTCTCTGACAGTTGCCGAATGGTGCTTCTTCTTTCCGTTATTCTTTCTATCTTTATTAGTTAGCTTTCTGCTTTAAGAAAGATGTCTCTGTTATCTGTTCCCCTGTCCCTCTCTCTCCCATCTTTTCTTCCTTTATTCTCTAGGATAGTTCTTTCAGATTCATAACCATTAGATGCTTCCAATTTGATGTTTTTGATATCTGTGCCTTAAACACTCTAGCTTCTCTCCTGCCTTAAGCTCCATCCATGTACTCTTTCTCTAGATACCTGGTTGTCTCAAACCAGGATTCTGTCAAGTGTTTTTAGACTTAGGGGCCATTTTTGTTCTTCAGGTGACTTTATATATCTCTTGCCTATCTTGGGTTGATGTCAGAGTTTGCTTCAGATGGCAGTTAAGTGGTGATCTCACTTTCTTTATTGCCATTATTGTGTGCGAACATACTGACCACAAGAATTTAGACCAACTCGCTCTTGGTAGTCTTTCTTCTTTTTCATACCTCAGTTGGGTATGTGCCGGCTTGACCAAATTCACACTTTTATTGAACACAAATGCAAACATTTTAAACAGATTCACCACAAATGATATTTCTTAAGTTACTTTTTATAAAGCAACAACAAAACCATGGAGAGCAACAACCCATATTTTCTCTTTTTATTGTAAAATGTCCTAAGCTAAAAATCACTTGTAATTCCATCCCAAGTCAACTAGTTTCATTTTTAAACACATTCATGTATTTATATCACTTATTTTTCACTTATATTCTCCCACATATATTTCAGTATCCATATTGGAAAATAATGGGTCTATGAACCAGGTAACATTTAGAGAGAACAGTACTGACCAGATGGCCCAGCCTCTCTCATTAAGGAGCTCTGGTGCTGGCAGAAGCTTATGTTCTGGGCTTCAGGGTCTTCATTTACATTGGATGGTAGATGAAGGGTCTTCAGATACCATGTCCGATGAAATCATTTTTGGAGCTTCTGAGGCCTAATTATATTCTAACTGGTGGAGGAGACTATGATGACAGATGAATAACCTCCATTTGTAGAGTACACAGCTGTACTGATACACTTGAATGTAAAGACTGTTTTGAGGCCAGTCTTTCCTTCAGAGGACAGCTGTGGTTAGGAGATTTGTGTTGTTTTAATTTCCATACTGTTTATCTCTTTTTTCCTCAAGTACAAAAATAGAGTAACAATAGCAACATGCTCCCAAAATACCACATGAAAAATTAAGAAAAGAATGTTTGGTTTAATTTATGAACATAGGTGCACTACTTGGTATTTTGTAATTATTGGTAAAAAAAAAACCCCACACAACACAGCAATTATTTCTGTAAGTGAAAAGTTTGAAACATGAATTATGTTTTATGAGTAATGGCAGATAGAAAAAAAAAAGGTAATTGTTTCACCAGCAGATATATCCCTGAGCAGATTCAAGTAATATATGTGAACATTTACTCTATTTTAGTGTTTATCAAATGCATTTAGAATTTTTTTCTGTTCAAAATGTCTAGGACTCGTACACTATGGACCCACTCAAGATAAACCTTGAGTCTGATACTGTGTACTCAAAGCAGCATTCTTTTCAGCCCTTCTTATGAATAAATTCTTAAGTGGTTGAGACAACAGTTTTAGTGCTATATATTTTAATTAACAGACACAAAAGCTCATTAGAGGATAATTTGCTGACAAAACAACATGAAGAAAATACAAAAATGGAAACTTAAGCTATTATGTAAATTTAAAAACTAGAGATGAATGATACCGTAATAGTGCCTGTCTCTTAGTAGCTTGAGAGTTTTGGGGGAATAATAATAAGAACTTTTTTCTTTAAGTTATTTTTTAAATACTTTTTATATTACTTTTTTCAAAGTAAAACATGTGATGGCTAAACAATTATAGCACAGAAGAGCTTATTATATAAAACAATATTTTCTAGTTTTTTATTTTAAAAATATATAGAAAATTGAAAAACTAGTCTAATAAACACCTATTTTTTTCACATATATTCAACAATTAATACATAACTAACATTTATATTTATTATATATAATATGTGATATATGTTAGATATGTAATATCTATTTAAATATATATAAAAATGTGCATGCACATATGCATGCTCATATGTTTTTCTTGAATTTTTTAAGTTTTCTTAATCTTGAAAATAGCTTTCAAATATCATATTTCACTCCTGAATACTTCAACATAAATCACCTAAGAATAAAAATATTCTCCTTCATAATCTCAATACCAGAAAACATATAAAATTAATAATTCTGCCGAAACCGGTTTGGCTCAGTGGATAGAGCGTTGGCCTGCAGACTGAAGGGCCCCAGGTTCGATTCTGGTCAAGGGCATGTACCTGGGTTGCGGGCACATCCCCAGTAGGAGATGTGCAGGAGGCAGCTGATCAATGTTTCTCTCTCATGGATGTTTCTAACTCTCTACCTCTCTCTCCCTTCCTCTCTGTAAAAAATCAATAAAATTATATTAAAAAAATTAAAAAAAATTAATAACTCTGTGATCATCTAATAACCAGTCCATATTAAAATTACCCAAATTGTCTCCAAAAAACCTTTTTCTTAAACCTGGATTCTGTAAAAATTCCCACATGCTTTTGGTTGTTGTAAAAGTAACCACTTTAAATTCTTTCAATTGTTTCTTAGGCAAATTGCCTCCAAATCACTAAATAATATGCTTATACAAGTACTTCTTAAATAATCAGTTGATATTTACTATATTGACATTCTATTTTGATAGCTGAAGATTTAACTTTTTAATGATTTCTCGCTATGCCCTTCCTACCTATGTGGTTTTTGTTGTTATTTGTAGTTAAACCAATAATCAGTGTTTAGATTAACATCAATATGTAAGTATCTGTATATATAAAAGGCTAATATGCTAAGTGTCTGACTGTCCAACCGGTCACTATGATGTGCACTGACCACCAGGGGGCAGACGCTCAATGCAGGAGCTGCCATGATGTGCACTGGCTGGCACCGTGGACCTGACACCGACAAACCAACACTCAGCTTCCCTGAAGTGAGACTCAGGCCCCACCACCACCCTGAGCGACACCCCACCAAATCACAGCCACCACTGCTGAGACCCCATGGTGCAAAATGCGGTCCACAGCCCAACACAGCCTGGAAATGGTGGCTGTGTGTGCCGAGTAATGACGTCACTTAGCAATGCCCAGCTTCCTCTCCCTAGCAACTAGGGAGTTTCTTCAGCCCAGGAACATGACTTGCTTTATAGCCAGGTGCAAACATTTTACAGATTAACCAAATGTCTGTGAAGCGTTTTCATGTGCCTCATCTCATTTGATCCTCACAGAAGTCCTGGAGTAGGTAGTTAGGAGACTCGATAGAATCCTATTTTCTTTTCATTAGCTGGAAAATGGAGATTTAGAAAGCTTAGAAACTTGACCCAACTGAAAAGAAGTAAGAAATGGTGGACCTTGAAAATGACTTCAGGTTTTCAGACTGCACAGAATATAGTCAAACACGGCTGTAGTTAAATATTTTACCCTTTGTTCTCCCTGCGTGATCTACAATAATAATCTTTTTCGTGTTGATATTTACTGCTGTTTTACTGAATTACCTGAAAGAGAAGTTGGGGTGTTTCACTGGGTGGCTGGAAAAAGTTTAGCTAAATCAGAAAGCAGGTCTAATTAAGCAAGTTTATTCTACATATA